CTGAACGGGAAGAGACTGAACAATAAAGAAGAGCTCAAGGCCGCGATTGAAGCATGTTGGTCTTCCATAACACCTGAGATATGCCACAAGATGGTAGCATCCATGCCACGCCGGATTAAGGCAGTCATTCATGCAAAAGGGGCCCCAACCAAGTACTAAGTACAGATGCAAGATTTTACATTCAGAGGCCTGACATTTTTGTATTTAAAATCCTTTTTTTTGTTATTGATTTCAAGCAGTATTCTAATTTTCTGAGTTTTTGAATTTGAGGTTTTCTGAAGCTGCAAGTTCTAATCAGCAAAATCAAAACAAGTAAAAGCTTGAAATATATTAATTTGCATACTATTTGTCTATATAATATGTAAATTTCACCTTTAAAGTTGAGTTACAGAAATACATGCACTTTTTCAGGATATTCTAATTTTCCGAGTAGTATGTGTATTAGGAATCACTCCATTAACTTCCACTGTTATGCAGATGATACACAGTTATATCTATCAATCAAGCCCGATGAAATTAATCAAAAATCTAAATTACAAACATGTCTTAAGGACATAAAATCCTGGATGAGCTGCAATTTGGAGCCTCCTGCCATGGTCCTGCTAGATTGCCATTACCAATACTGTTGTTGCTGTGCACCTGTCTGTCTGTCTCTGTCTCTCTCTCTCTCTCTCTCTCTCTCTATCTCTCTCTCACCCCAACTGGTCGAGACAGACGACCACCCACCTAGAGCCGAAGGATCTGTCCTAGGTTTCTGCCTTTAACAGGCAGTTTTTCCTTGCCCTTGTCGCCAAGTGCTTTCTCATGGTGGTACTGTTGGGTCTCTGTAAATAATGTTATAAAGAGTTCGGTCTAGACCTGCTCCATTTGAAAAGTGTCCTGAGATAACTTCTGTTATGAATTGACGCTAAACAAATAAAATTGAATTGAATTGTCCATGATGGCTTTCAGCTTCACTCTCATACTCTTCTCAGTCACAGCCTCCACACTGTCCAAATTTGTCCCCACCACCGATCTGGCCTTCTTTGTTGCCACCACAAGTCCCGATGCCACCTCGCCAGCACAACGCAGCAAAAAAGATGTCGCTGTCACCCCCAGGAACTTGTAGGTGTCCACCATCTCCACCCTCTTCCCCTTATTGCAACTGGAGAGGGGGGGCCTCTTGCTGCACTGGAAGTCCACCACAAGCTCCTCTGTGTTGAGCTGTAGGTGATTTCTGTCACACCATCCAATGACGTTCTTGATCAGGTCTCTGTACTCATCCTCCGTATCGTCTGTGATACAGCCGTCAATGGAGGAGTCATCTGAGAACTTCAATGGAACAGTCATCTGAGAATTTCTGCCACCACATCTGACAAGCAGTCTGACATATTGTGGTCTGTCAGTGAGATAGTCTGTAATCCAAGCCACAAGGTCCTGATCCACCTGCATCACAGAGAGCTTCTTTGCCAGCTGGAAAGGCTGGATGGTGTCGATGATACTGGAGAAGTCCAAGAACATGATCCTCACAGTGCTCTGTGGCTTCTCCAGGTGGGTGTAAGCTCTGTGAAGCAGGTAGATAATGGCATCATCCATCCAATGTTAGGCTGGTATGCAAAGAGGGGGGTCTGAAGTGCTGCAGAACCAGTCTTTCAAAGGTTTTCATGACATATTATGTTAAAGCCACAGGCCTGAAGTCATTGATAGCGTTACAACGTCCTGTTTTGGGAACATGAACTATGCAGGAAGTCTTCCAGATCTTTGGCACCTTCTTCAACCTCAGGGAGAGGTCAAAAATATGCTGGAACACTCCTGCCAGTTGCTCTGCGCACACTTTCAGGACCCTTGGGTTAATGTCCTCAGCACCTCTAGCCTTGTTGCATGCACAGCTGTTTTCAGATCTACCCACTGATATTTAAGTCAGGGGACTGTGATTGTGCCATTCCGAAACCTTGAGGTAGTCCATGGTGGATTTTGAGGTATGCTTAGGGATCATTATTTTGAAGCTGTCCTTTTTTAGCTTCAAATTTTTTGCAGATGCTGTGATGTCTGCTTCCAGAATTGTTGGTATTTAGTGGAATTCCTTCTTTCCTCCACCTGTGCAATGTTCCCTGTGCCACTGGCTGCAACACAACCCCAAACCATGATAGATTCACCCTCATGCTTAACAGTTGGCAGTTTTTTTCTTCAAACATTCCTTTGCTGATTGTGACCGAAAAGTTCTATTTGAACTTCATCAGTATTTGTTGTTTCCAAAACACATCAAGCTTCTGTAGATGTTATGTTGCATATTTCTGATGTTGCTTTTTTTATGATGTGGACACAGGTATGGTTTTCCTTACCTTCCTACCGACTCTTCTATGGATGTTTTGTTTGCACAAGCAGTTCTACACGGTGGAACTCCTAAGTCTGCTAAACCTTGCTGCAGGTCCTGGAGGTTCTGATTTGCCTTTCTGACCAGCATACTCTTCTCTCCAAGAGTTTTCTTGGTCTTAAATCTCATCTTTATCTCCACAGTTTCCCTAAACTGCCATCTCTTCATTACATTTCCAACTGTTGAAATGCATTGCTAACTTCTTGTGGACTTCTCCTGCAATGTGGACATCAGTGGGCATCAATAACTTTGTAAAGGGTTGAGGTTGGCACCAGCTGAGGTTTTCTAATCACTGTTCACAGGCCTCAGGCCTAACAAGCTGATGAAGGTCTGAGACCTTGTAAAAATAATCTGAGACTGTAGAAATCCTATTCTTACTTTTGCAGATGCCAAAATTATGCAATTATTTTTTAACTTTGTTCAATTTATGAAATAAAATTGCTAAATTTGCTAAAAATATTTTGTTTGTTTTGTGTTTACCGCTTTTCAATGAAAAAAAATCGGCAATATGTTATTGGCTAAACATTGCATATGACTTTATATAAACCTCTGCTCAAGACTACCAAGCTAAAATTTCTAGTGAAATAGGCAAGGGTCGTAATACTTTTTTTAAAATACATGTGCAAAAAAAAGATCCTGTGTTGGCTCTGTCATCAGGGCCGGCCCAAGCGAACTAAGCAGCTGCTTAGGGCCCCGTGATCACAAAAAAGGACTTACCCTTCAGGGGCAGAAAAAAGAAAAAGGAAGAAAGAGGAAGAGGAGAAAAAACAACAAGTTAAAGGTATGTCTTGGTAATGTAACATTTGGTGTCATGGAGATTTTGAAAAGTTCCCTGAAATTAGGAATATCAACAATAATTAGTCCCTAATTATTGTTGATATTTTGTTCCAAATATGTTAGCCTATGCAAATTTGCTAGCTAACATTAGTTCAAAACGTCTTGCTACTTATGGGTCGGTTAGACAGCTTACTATTCAAGCTAACGTTGTTGTGTTTGTGTAATACTTTGAATAAGTTGATTCTCAGTGTATATATATTATTCTGGGTCACTTTTTGGCATCAAAACAACGTTTTTGATAACAACGTTTGACAGCAAATGTTTAATAACTAACGTTAATAACAAACGCGGTGACGTTTGCCAGCAATATGGTTTTGCATTAATGAATTAATTTAGTTAACTTATAGTTTGAGGTATGTTGTTTGCAACTGTTTGCTGCAGAGCACAGTAATTTATGTGAGTAAATAAACATATTTCTTTTACATCAACTCCCTATTGTGCTCATACGTTATATGAAACTTCCCCAGGAGCACTGTTAAAGTATTTAGGAGGAGGCACTGACTCAGCCCAGGGGCAATCCACCTCCTCAGGAGCAGCCAAGGCTGATGAATCAGGTGATCAAAAACTCATTAAGATATACTAATATAAGATATAATCATATGACAAGGGACATGTTTTTCATCTCAGGTCCATCTCTGTCCTCTGCTCCATCCACTGTGCCCACTGTCCTCTCTGCAACCTGAGCTCTACCTGGCAACAGAACAGCCTTTAATTGCTCAGTGCACTGCAGAACATACTGAGACGAATATTTTTTTTAATGTAAGATATAAGATATAATCATATGACAAGGGACATGATTTTAGACAAATCCATATTATTTCAAAACTTCTCAAGCAATTTTCAGTTGTTCCACTGGCAGTTTGTTTTCTTATTACAAGCTATAGCTGTACTTTTTTATTTAGAAAATAAGCTGCATCCTTTTCAAGTGTAATATGACTATAACATGACTAGCTTTTTTGTTTTTGTTGTTTTTCATCTTAGGTCCATCTTTATCCTCTGCTCCATCCACTGTGCCCACTGTGCCTACTGTGTCTAATGCAACCTCAGCTGTACCTGGTAAGTTAACAACAAAACAGCCTTTATAATTGCTCAGATGAATAATTTTGTCTAAAGATATTATTTTAATTTCCCTATGGGTCCTTCATCTTTTGTCATCGAGATTGATGTGTCTTCTTCAGCATCCAGTTTGGAGCAGGGATCACATTCACATTCCCAAAAAGACACATGGCAGTAATAGAGGGCCCCAAAATCAAATTTTGCTTAGGGCCCCATGGAGGCATGGGCTGGCCCTGTCTGTCATGATGTGGTATATTGAGTGTAGATTAATGAGGGGAAAATGAATTTAAACAATGTTAGCATTAGACTGTGACATAATGTGAAATAAGTTTGATTGATTTATTGTTTACAATAATTGTTTTTTTTGGCCGTGATTGCCTATAAATAACTTGACTGCAGTGTAATATACAGCATGGGGCACACTCTCAACTTTGAAGATTGAAAAATATCTGTCTCCTGGGCCTTTTGGCACATATTATACTGAAGATCTTCACTTGACATTGTAACCACGAATGGACATTTTGTTCAGTAATGTTAAAAAAATAGAAAAAAGACAATTCTGATATAGGGGTAGATTGTACAGTGTTACATTTATTAAATTTTACTGAAGATGAAAACAGACTGCAGTTTTCCCTGGCAGGGAGGCATCAAGTGTGCAAAATGCTTCATAACAATTGCAGTGCACCCACCTAAAATTAGCATAAACACTGCAACATGTTGACTCTTTCCAACACACAGCACATATTCTACTCACCAAAAAGCAGGTTAGGTAGAAGTATCAACATGCTGGTGAATGCAGGTGACACAGAGAAGCATCCAGGCTCAGGAAGGTTGGTCTAGACAGAACTGTGTATTGGTTTGCTCCTTCTCTGCTTGTGTTCACAGTGGCAGGTGCTTTCCCATTTATAAAATACATCTACCATCAATTGCAAATAAAGAGGAATTTGTAGGGAGGCATTTCACAACCCAACCAATGTATTCTTGCATGGTATGTCTTTTCAATACCACAGAATCAGAAGTGGCAAACATAGACTGAAATGCACTTTCTTTATGATTTGGACTTTCCTCAAGGGACTGAAATTATTACACAGTTGCAAATGTTTTCACTGTCTGTACAGTCGTGTAATATACCAAATAAAAATATTTAAAAACCAGAATTCAGTCTGAACCCCTTTTTGTTTTCTGTGTACGAGTCCTCTGTTGCTGTACCGGAAAAGATAGTGTTATGTCCTACACTGTCAATGGTTATATTACACAGCAAACATGCCAATACATGTTTGCAGTTGAGTACAATTTGGCATTGCTTTGCATCTAAAAGGTCCAGTGTGTAATATCCAGGGGACTCTATTTACAGAATATAAGCATGCACCTACTCATTGACGAGAGGTTTGTGCTTGTGACAGTGCAGGATGTAAATAATTATAAGTAATGCTGTCCTCCTCGGATGAGCTGTAACATTCGCTAGCTTAGTGGTGATAGGTGAGGGTTAGGCAAAATAATATAGGCTCATTATGAAAACTGAGCTTACAAAGTCCTGCAGGATTTGTGCATGATCATAAGAACACTGAGGGAAATAAAATACACTGATGCGGACATGTCAAACAATTGCCCTAATACAACATTTATATTCCAAGGAAGCTAAGACCACACTATCAACCATGAATTTATTCTTTTCTCATTTGGAGCAAAAATATTTGCTTATTGTAACACTCAGACTTAAATCACACTTAAATGTGTTGAAACAGTGAAACAGTTAAAAAGTTTAAACAAACTGCAAATGTCTATTTTATTATTTGTACATTACTTGGTTAAAAGTGTAACTGCTTCATACACACCAATGTGCGGGATAGAATTCCTACACTGAATTGACAAATAGTGCTTTGGGATATCAATACAACACTCCCTAGCTGTTTCAAACCTTGTGCAGTGTGTAGTGGAAAAACACAATCTGTCTGGGAAACAGACAATATACTGAGACACAGCAAGTGCGGTAACTGGCAGTGCAGGCGAGTAGGACTCAATCAGCACCCATCGTATATATCTGCAGAGCAAGTAACACCACAGTGGCACACTGTAGGCGGTTAAGAGACGCCTCCCTCTCCTTTCATTTCCTTGAAAAACCCACAGGAGAGAAGTGTGCCTGGTTTGTTGCCATGAGTCAAGTCAGCAGATGGAAATCTGTTTCAGGAGGGTTGCTGAGCAAGCATTTATTATATTTAATATAAAGTTATATTAAAATGTATAAATAACGAAATAATGCGGCCAAACCTTTGCATATTTCTATGTGTTAATGTGTAATGTGTAAATGTGGTATGACACTTGTTTATTGAACTTCAAGGAACACAATAAAATATTTAACATGTAGATATATGAATAATTGCTATAAACTATCTGACAGAGTGAAGTGTATTACAGGGGGCTTCAACAAAGAAACAGCCAGTGCGGGTTAACTGCCATAACTAGCACTGACAAAAACCCTTCATATACTTTATACACACAGCTGTTGCCCTGGTGTTCATACTCAACTACAGGGAAGTTGAAGGAGGCTGAGTTGTTGACTGCTGGCTTGGTGTCAGTGATGTTGGAGCCAGAGAAGATGAGAGAGAACACACCTGTAACCCTTGGTGACCTCTGCACCTTAAGGACCCCAGACCAACCCTCTGTTAGGAGATGTCAGTTTAAGGCTGGGCTGCTGCAGTGGCACTGGGTACAAACAGAGTCAACAAAAAGACAGTGTAGACTAGATGACTTTAAGCTGGATTCAGGTCACATATTTCAATATATAATTTGACGAAAAAAGACAAAAATGCCAAAAGACTACATTTATTGGAAACATTTTGAATCTAAACATGAAAGTACATTTTCTGATTTGGGAAGACACAGGTCATTTAAATGATAGACCATGTAGTTGCAGGAGTGCAACAATACACTATCGTATACTAGTAAAAAAAAAAGAGATTGATGTACTTTTTCCTATTTAAATGACAAATGAATTTTGGATTATCCGATGATACCCACACCGCCAAGGAACTCTGACATGTGGACTGGAGGTAACTGAGGATCGAACTGTTGATCTGATCAGTGGACAATCCATTCCTCAGCCACAGCTATTCTGTTGTGTGTTGTGGAACAGGGATTCTGGTGCCAGGTCCAATTTGAAAAGCTTTTGGAGGCTCACTGAAAAAAAAACGTTAGAGTGACAGAGGTATTGCCTTTGAGCTGAGTAGCATCTTTATATTTTAACTTGTATTTCTGTAATTCAGTACAAGTTAACAAAAATGTAAGATTTTTCCTTTAGCAGTAACAGAGAGTCTGACAGAGTCACTTAAGGGGGAGCTGAAGTCTCGACCTGAAACCTGTATCTGATACTGACAATGGTACGCTCCCACGTTATTAGAGTTGGCTTTGAAGATGCTGAAGGTTGCTGAATTGCTGCTTGACGTTTGGGTCTTCCTGAAAGAGCCTGAGGTCTTCTGCAGGATGAATGTTCCACCTAAATGCTGAATTGAGATTGAACAAGTGATGCTGATGTCCTGACCCCAGGTAACCTCACCAAAAGAATGGAATGCTCACGGAAAAAAATAACGTTAGCGTGAAAGAGGAATTGCCTTTAAGTTGAGATGCATCTTTTTATTTTATTTTTATTTTCTGCGTTTTTCATTACAAGTTAAGTGAGTCAGAGACACTTACTACGTACTGACACTGGTACAGTCCTTCAATGTCAAAATTCAGTTGAGTGATACTGAAGGTAAAAGAGTTGGATGTTAGATTTTTGGGTCTTTCTGAATGAACCTGAGGTCTTCTGCAGGATGTTAGATCTAAATGCAGAGATGAGATCAAACAAGTGACCCCTGTGTCGTGTCCCGTCAAGTTTGTTAAGCTTAGTCATGTTCATGTTAAGTGTTTCATGTTAGTCCTTCCTGTTTTATTTATACTCACCTTTTCCCTCACTATTCAAATCCTGACTTCCTCCCTTTGTGTGATTTTTGCCTTTGTAACTGTCTGCCCCGCCCCTGATTGCTTTCACCTGTTTTCATATACACATGGTATAAATAGTCCTTGTCTCCCTTTGTTTTTGTCAGCTTGTCTTGTTCAGTAGGTAAATGAGTATCATCAAGTGTTCAGGTTATTTCATGTTTCAATTGAAGTTTGAGTTTTGTTTGCATTTTGATATCCTCAAGAGTGCCTTTTGTTGATAAATAAATATATTTTTTTCTACATCTTCGTCTGTGCCAGAGTCGTGCATTTGGGTCCACCTATATTGTGTAGAATAATGCGAGGTAGCCATGCAGGGGGAGATCAAACTTTTAGGCAAGCTGAATGACCAAAATGTTTTCTCTCCTAAACAGACTACACTAGCTGTTTGGCCCAAATTCTGCATGCTGACATTCAGTTACAGACCTTTCACTTCCTGAACAGTCCACATCATCAAGCCAGATTGTTTTAGTTCCTTGACCAAAGTGAGCCGAATGATGGGCACCAACTATCTTTACACCAACATAGCATCTTTTAAGTCCCAGCCATCATCAAAAATTGTTCCCCAGGTAGGGCTGTGATAGATTTCAACTCTTCCAGAGCACTGAGTAGACCCAACTAATCTGATGTGACCACCTATAGGCACATAAGACATATTGGGCTCTATCTCAGCGCAATTGACTTTGTACACTGGCGCTTGTATAATTCCTATTTTGCACTCGACGCACATTGGAATTTTCCCTCCACAGACGCACGTCCTTAAATTAGGGAATGAACTTGCGCTCCGGGTGGCGGTTCAGCGAAAAGAGGAGGCATGTTCCGGCGCAAACATTCCCTGGTGCTATTTTGCTGTTTCAGAAAACAATTCCGCCACAGACCAGAAAAAACCTAGTCTAAAGTCAGTGGCGCTTATTCAGATGCTATTTTAAGGGCGTAGACTTGAGGGGATGCGCCTGAGAGGCAGCAGCAACATCGCCACCCGGTCAAGACGGGCATTATTACTTTGCCGCATCCCGGACAGCTCCCGCTCCAGCATGTCAAACCCAGTTTGCTGCAGGAACGGGAAGTCCTCCGGCGTGTAGTGGGTCTGGATCTTCTGCACCTTGGTGTTTGCGCTGCTCCCTCCTCAGCTGGCCCGTGCGCACTGCTCCCGAGGCCAGGGTCTTCTTCCTGCAAAGCTGCGTTACATTGTTTTGATTTATTGTATGGCTGTGTTACATTTATTTCATGTCAATAATGTCACTTCTCGGTATTTTACGGCCCTGACGAGAACGTCGGTCTCCTCGGCTGTGAACCTCTCCTGGCGTGCGCCTGGCAAATCCGCCGTTATAATAGCAATCCGCCATGGAACAAGCGCGCCTGCTTTTAAAGGGGAATGTGAGATGACGCTCTGATTGGTTTATTGCACGTTACGCCCAAACCACACCTATGACTAATGTAGCTAATTCAGACCAACCCATTTTAGATTTGCGCCGGGCGCAAGAGTCATTTATCCCGCCAGCATAATAGCAATAGCGCCCGAGATCTGCCCACAAAGCTACTTGCGTTTTGCGTTTGATACTTGCGTTTCAGATCGGCAAGATAGGGCCCATTTAGTTTTATAATTCTATGTATCACACAGAAAAATGTCACGTGCACATTTCATTAAACAGCCACAAATTCTCAGTTCCTAACTTTTCAAAACAGGTGCACCCATGTGTTCAGCCTTACCTCAAGGTACTCTCCAATGACTTTCTCTTATTCACTAACAAAGACCACAAAAATGAACGTGTGGAATTTAGAAAGGTTTATTGCACGTAATAAATAAATGAAAACCGATGTGGTGTACTGTAGGACGGATGAATGGATTGGGAAAGGTCTGAGGGATGAAAGGATGAGGGTCGGGGGATGGGGGATGGACGTATGAATGG